TTCAAAGAATTCGTCAAATATATACTAGCCTAACCTATATACTTATATATGTATATATATATATATATATATAAGTATTGTATGTTGATTCAAGAATATTGTCCCGCGGTTGTACATTACAAACCTGTTTATTATTTAAAGTTCACCAAACTAAAATATTCTTCTTGTTTCCTTCGCATTCTCTCCCAACTATTTTGGGTCGACAACCCGGGTCCTCAATTTGCGCTTTCTACGATTCTTAGCATCTTTCTCACAAATACCAGTCATTCTCATATCACACTCTATAATTTCAAACCATCTATTTTTTAATCTTCCTCTTCCTCTTTTTCCATCTCCATTCATGATCTTTGTCACTGAAACTGCTTCAGTTTTTTCTCTTCTTAAAACATGTCCTAGCCATCTCAACCTATTCTTGCACGCAATTTGTCAACTTTTGAAGCCACTCCTATACTACCTCTTGTATACTCATTTCTTATTCTGTCCTCTCTCCTCACTCCACTCATCAAAAAAAGTTCATCAAACCAAAATATGAATTGTAAATAATCAATAATTTTTATAAAGCTCATGCCATATGCTGAGATTATTAATATTGATTATTATTAAAGTTAAAATATTGATGACCTAAAAACACATAAAAATTCCCTAAAAAAATATGAAAAATGACCTAAAAAAAGTGCAAAAATATCCTAAAAACTTGTCAATGACAATTTAATCTTGTTTATAACTGTTATTAATACGATATAATTATTCGTAAATTTTCATCTTAAAATTAACGTTAAATATTTAACATATTACTAGTAAAGGTATTAAAGTTTAAAAATTGATAAGCCGATTTCACATTATTACAATATTTAGTTTGCTTTTTCTCGTATGCATTATTTTATGTATGCGAAAGCAAATCGTACAAATCTGAAGTGTTACAATGTCACTATTGTCATTCATTCAAATGCTTATATGTTCGACCGACAAGAAACCAATAAGTTCGTGCCGTCCTTATTATTACATGCGAGGCCAACAAGAAACCAATAAGTTCGTGTCGTCCTTATTACATGCGAGTTTTTGAATGGTCTTGAACATAAATTGCGTTTTATCAAATATTTTACGAAAGCAAAATAATTGGATTAAAGAAAAATGTTTAATGTGTGAACACAGCTTATGTTAGTATAATATTTGAGCGCACTTTAGTGTTCCAGGCCAAGTCCCAGCAATGCCAGTGTATTTTTACACGAATCAATCCACCCAGTTTTTTTAACACATAAACTTTTTAAATTTAAAACACAGATTAATTTCGAGTAGCTTAGGATGTTGTAAAAAAATGAGCCATTAATATTGTGCCATTCAAAAATGGAAGAATTTCAAAATATGCAATATTGTTATTGACTCACTCACTCACTCATCAAAATTATAAGACACTTCCCATATAGGTAAAAAGTGAAATTTAGCACAAAGGTAGATTTTAAAGTGTAACTAAATGAAGAAATCTAAAAATTGAAATTTTTTTAAAACTTATGTGGCTTTAGAGAGAGTGTATTTCTAAACATATGAAGTGGCGCGCTTAGCACGCATAAACGTTTCTTTTCAAACATAAATACAATATGGTAATACAAAATTGTTTGTAGTTGACTTATATATATTTAAAAAACACAACAATGTTTTCGTAAATTTATTTTATTCTAATACAAAATATAATATAATTATTCAAATACAGAATATTGTAATAATATTCGTTGKTTTAAGCCGTTTAAGGACGATAATTTTACGTGATAACGTCATAAGAAAACATTGATAAAAAATTGCATATGGACTCTTATAAATTGAATGGAATTATTATCACTGAATTATCATTATTTTGTATAATACAAAGAAGAAGTTACTGAAATATTCACGACTGTATCGTAATCGCGACGCATCGTGTTGGTGTGGCTTGTGGTGAGTCACCTATGATGAGTTAACATCGAACATGTGACAGAAAAATGATCAATGCTCAAATGTACAATCTCTTAGCTCCTCAACAGAAACCCAAACGGTCTTACAAGAGAAAATCTACGACGTATAAAAAAATAAAAATAATAACACGTTGTCCACGACGCTGAAGCCCGCAAAAATAAATGATATCCCCAACAAAAACCTAACGGTGAAAAAAAGGCGAGTTCCAAACTCCCTCCCAAAAAAGTCGACCTATCAAAGTAGTGAAATCTACATTGTGGCCAAGTCTGCTATTTCTTAACTCATAACCTCACTGCACTCCTACATTAAAGAGCCACACTCCTCTTTTATTTTTATTGTTGGCCAGTTTTTGAATGAAGGCATAAAACATCATTATCGAATGATGTGGCTTAGATTTCTTCTCAAGAAATACAGCGAATCATAGTAGTGGTATCTAGGTATCTAAATTGCGGCCAAGTCTAGTAAATGCCTCATTTAGAAATTGTCCAAAAATGTAAACAATACAAATAAAAGAGGAGTGTTGCTGTTTTATGTGTAGGAGTTCGGTGAGGTTACGAATTAAAAAATAGCAGACTTGGCCACAATGTAGATTTCACTACTTTGATATGTTGACTTTTTTGGGAAGGAGTACGGAGCTTGCCTTTTTATCACCGTTAGGTTTTGTTGGGGATTATATTATACACAAAACGACATTTTATTTTAAAATAATCATAATAATGAGCAATATTCATAATGTTTGTACAAGTATAATAAATAATAATTTAATAATAATAATAATAATAATAATAATAATTTTAATAGATACTTTTCATATTTGTGTACAAACACAAATTACTAAATTAATATTAAGCTTAATATATAAACGAATACCGATATAAATAAACATTTTTAAACTAAATTCCGTATGGATTACTGGAATATATAAATATTATAAAGTGTTTAGGTTATGATTGATATTTATGTTATGGAGAACAATATTTTTATTCAAAATTAAAAATATAGCTAACAACAGCCCATAGATACACTGTTGAGGTTTCTAATAATTGTATATGAATTAAATTGAGCTTTTTAAAATATGTTTTAATAGATACTTTTTATATTTGTGTACAAACACAAATTACTAAATTAATATTAAGCTTAATATATAAACGAATACCGATATAAACAAACATTTTTAAACTGAATTCCGTATGGATTACTGAAATATATAATGGAATATATAAATATTATAAAGTGTTTAGGTTATGTTTGATATTTATGTTATGGAGAACAATATTTTTATTAAAAATTAAAAATATAGCTAACAACAGCCCATAGATACACTGTTGAGGTTTCTAATATTAAAAGGGTTGTTAAGATTGTATACATGAAAATCATAAGGTTTATACAGTATAAATCTCAATAAGGAGTTTATTATTTTAATAATATGATCTAATGTAGTCTTGGATGCATTTCTCCAAATCACAATAGCATAATTTATTATTAATAATAGACTGTTTCCAAGACGTAGAATTGTTGATGTCTTTTAAAAAATTTAGTTCATAAAAAACTTCTGTATCGTAAATTCTTCATGAATTCATGATCAATATAATAAATTATGTGAAGTCTACTTCGTGTTTTTATCAAACATCACTCCAAGGTATTTAATTAAATGAACAGTATTTTCAAGCCTGTTACATTTGAAAGAATATCCTGTCTACTTTTATATTATTTTCTAGTATACAGGCTGATCCATTTCAGTAAGTATACTAATTATCTCGAAAAACATTAAAATCTTAAAATTTTATAAAGTTCATTATAAAAATGGTTTTATTAATTCGTGATATTTTTATTATATGTATCATTGGAAAATCAAAAGTTGATAGTGGTTTCACTAATAAATATAAGGGTAATAACAATTATATATTATACAGATTTAGAAAAACATAAATTTAGAAGTTTAAAAAAAAAAATCAAAAAAAGTTAAAACTTGTTGAGATAATTAGTGTATACCCACTTAAATGGATCACTCTGTATATTAAGTTCTGGTAAATTATTTTTTGAATAGTTTTTTCTATGATGTAGGTGAGTATATCTAAACTACTTAAGGTAGAGGGATAACCCTAATCAAAATGATCGTATCATCTGAAAATTCAATTCAAATTTAAACCTAGGTAATAGATTATTATTATAATAGAAAATAGTATATATGTCGTAGCCACTTCGTGAAATTAATCCTTACATGAAAATATAACTATTTAGTGAAATGGAAACACGTTTTTTACATTTTGTGAAATTCAAAAATATTTCACGAAATGGTCACTCAAATTCATCGTGTAATTTTTTTCACAAAGTGAACTACCACTTTGTGTAATGAAATATAACATTTGACAACTTATTCTACCTTTATAAATTTAACTATAATAATTAAGTTTATTTATATCATATTAATTTATTAACTGTATGTAAACATTTTTTATTTATTAGAGCAGGAAAATGAATTGTATTTTGCTGAATAAGTTAACAAACAAAAATAATTAACCTTGTCAAAACTGTTAAAATTGTATCTAGAGGTCAGGGATTTTTAAGTTGTTCGTGTAAAACTGCTCGTAAAACCAAAAGATGTGTTTGTTTTAAAGGTAGTCTAAAATGTATAGGTAACAGTCGTTGTCACAATTCAATTTTCTGCTCTAATAAATAAAAAAAAATTTTACAATACGGTTAATAAATAAATATGATATAAATAAACTTTATTACTATATATAATTATTTAAGTTAGATTTATAAGGGTAGATTAAGTTGTTAAATGTTGTATTTCAGTACAAAAAATGGTCGTTCACTTTTTGAAAATCCCAAAGTGTAAAAAACGTGTTTTCATTTCACGAAGTGGTCATCTTTTCATATAAAGATTGATTTTACGAAGTGGTTATGAGTTTACGACATATACATTATGAAATATAAAGAATATAGTACATAACATGGACATGGACAAAATAATTTATTGAATGATTTTTACGAGTGGTAAAAATAATATCATATATTATATAGTAAATTAATCAATTATTTTAACTCACCTGTATATGTATGATTAAGTTAATTAGTTCATGCCGGGTTTTTACAAATGAATCTTTTCTCAACTATTTTAAATAGTTTATGGTAAGTGTTCAAAAACTGAGATCACTTATCTTCTTAGTTAAAATCCTTAAATTTTAACTAAAATAGTTATATTTATTTTCATTTGTTTCGTTCACCATCATTCTTGTCGTAATTCTCAACAATATAAATTATGTAAGTATGATTGACTTTTCTTCCGTGTCGATGATCTTGAAAACTGATCCTAGTTGATATAATTCCTATAAATCAATTAAAGCAGATAAATTTAATTCTTTATTTTAATTTGTTTCTAAAAATAATATTTAATAATAAATAATTGTTTAACGGTACTTAAGTTTATAGGTAATAGATAATGTTTACGTTAATTATAGTATGAATAATCTTTGGTTAACTTAGAGATACTTATTAAAATGGGAGTTTGTAATTTGCACCAAATTAAAGATATATAATCTGCACCACTGCTGGTAGCCAAAAATAGTGGTTGTAATTTGTACCAAAATAAGGGTATGTAATTTGCACCACCCTCAGGTAGTCGAAAATAGAATTTGTAAATTGCACCAAAATGATTATTTATTTGTTCAATTATCGAATATTCGATTTTTCCTCGGTATCTTCGTAGACGTCGAGACTAGACTGATACGAATGACAATAATAATTTTAATAATAATAATAATAATACGATTTAATAACATATAATTTTTTTAATTGGCCAACTTTTTTTTATATTCATAATTATACAATTTTATATAAACTTAGTACTTACATCAATATGTGTATAAGCTCGGCTATATTATAAATAAAAACTAAGCCAAATTTATATTAGGATATAAAAACTTATAAGTTTGTACTATCGAAATACTATCGAAAAAATAATCGATTTTAATTTTGGTGCAAATTATAATTCCTATTTCTTACTACCTGAGGATGGTACAAATTGCATATCTTTATTTTGGTGCAAATTACAAACGCACTTTAAAAAAATGGTGCAAATTGACAGCCATTAAAATTGGTGTCGTAACACAGAAAAGGAAACATAAAATGTTGATGTTTATGCATGATACAATTAAATTGGTTATCCTAATATAATTGATTTTTCAATCAAAGATATATAACTATAAATAATTTAACCTAAGAATATTTTCTCTTTGTGTAAATAATAATTTGAGAGTAACTAAAATTTTGTGCGATGAAAGAGACGTAGAATGAAAAAGTTAGTATACCTCTGGAAGTTAAGTAACTATAAATTGGAAACTATGGCTTTTAGAATTTTATGATGGGATGTGGGGGTTACGGTTGGTTGAGAAACACGTGATAATTTGGGTTAAGTACTCGGGTGGTGACCCATCTGAGAGCTACACTGGATGGTGTTTGACCTCAGCACACATTAATGACTACAAACTGTAATCTTCAATTAACACTCATATAAACAAAATCTATCAATTAACTTTTTTAACCAACTAAAATATGTGAGCAGTTTATACGTAAACATACCTACTATTGTAATCTAAGTGACAATATTATCTCAGTTTTTTTCTCTATTACCTTAAACTAAGGTTCTATACCTCTATGTCTCGTCACAATGTTCTTACGCAATAATAATGACAATACAAATAACTGTCTATGTCTAATAACACAATTATATCTTATTTGTACTACCTATTATAGTACAAAATCTTAAAAATTGTATCTTGATGACATAAAGTGTAGATTACGGTGTCGGGAAAAATGTCTATTCATAGGAAAAAATATAATAATAATATATTAGTTATTACTTTTACTTATCGTTAAAGAAATTATAATTGTGTTGCAATCAAAAATTAGTATGATCTATTTGTAATTTTTATGTTATAGGATAGGATTCCATATACATTGCTATACATACTACTTTAATAATGTTTAGTCACATTTTATTAAATCAAATGACTTATTTTTTTTGATTTTTAACCACATCCTTGAAAGTTAATTTAATTCGTGAATAGAATAATTTATCCATTATTACTATCGTAATTTACTTTTTCTTTTTATCATAACTTATATTATATTTATAGCATTTTATTTATTTTATATTATATTACAATAGTAACGGGCAAGCCMAAAAATAACAAGAAATGTTGTCGTGAAATCATTATGAGTCTAAAAATACAAATTTGAACTTCCACTAGTTACCCATATTGTGCATTTAAATTAAAATGTATAATTTTTTTATTATTACATTATTTCTTTTAAATTACAAGAATAATTACACATAAACAGCTACTACTTCCAAGAGTATATTGTTGTTATTTCCATAATTATTACTATGATCAAATAAATATGTATTATCACAGTTATTGAAATGGTTGTTTCGGTATGCGCAACTCTTTCATCTACGGCCCATATCGGAGTTCTCCATATTTGATTGGTTGACTTTTGTCCATGTTATAATATATTATGTTTGTTTATGATTGCCAATCAATATTATAAGTGGACGAGTGGACCACTACGATATAGGTGAACTAAAGATCAATGAATATGTATAAAATAAAATTTGAAACACCGATGGTAGGTACCTATCTATTTTGTAATAGTAGGTATGCATTTTTGTAGGTTTTTGTATACTTATACGTATAAAATATATCTTAAATATATTATTTATATAATATTTCAAGGTAATTAATATGGGTTGGTATTGGCTATTTAAATTAAATTAAATTTGTATTATGGTGAATATTTATAAAGTCCAAAATTATATTCAAGAATAGTTTTACTAACTTGTTGTATCACAAATTCACTAAGTGGTATTTCCCAGTGACAAATTAACCACAGACACCAATAAACCGCAATATATCATAAGTTTTACTACCAACTAATAACTTATATGAATTCGATAGGTAGATTAACACATATCCACAATATGCAAATTCATATTATGGTATTATCATATTTTACATGATATAATATTATAATAGTAAATACCTATAGGTAATAAGTAGAAATTAAGCAAGTATGTGAGAAATTAATGTAAATTTAATATGTAACGCAGGCTAATAACCATGTAGTTGTATATATACACATTAAACGTATTTTAATTTAATTTTGTCATGTTCTTATTTTATCTTTGTTATATTTATTTGCGAAGTTAAAATTAATAAATAACTGTTTACACTTTACAGCAGCGGTGTATCGACTAAACATTTTGGCCCGGAAATTACCATGTGACAGGCACACTTTAGTTATAGTCTTATTTATGATTAAATGTAGTTATGTTCGGCATGTGAACATGTAACTTATTTTCATGACCAACCAAATTTCTAACTAGATTCATTTTCCTACCAGAAAAGATGATGAAATGAAAATTGAAGCATTTTTACTCCCTTAAAAAGTTGCGTCACACTATTTTTTTTTTAAACACGCCACTATAAAATATATTTAAACATATTTTATAAAAATGTTGATAAATAAATGAACTAATGTATGCTACTTAATGCAGTCAAAACATTATCCAAAATCGTGCATTATAAATGTTTTGATAGTACTAAGGTAATTTTTTTATTGTGGTAGGTGTTAGATGTTTTTTAAGACAGGAAAACTATTCYGAATGTAGATTTGATCTAAACAATTTTTAAGAGTATACTATTGAAAACTTTATGGTAATATAATTAGTAATAACAAATGTAGCATTGTAGTATTGCACTCACATTTGTGCAATAGTTATGTTGCTTGTTTTAAATTTTAGCCTAACTTAATCCAACTTACCTATCGCATATTTTTTTTATACACCAAATTATGTACTTTATTAATTTGTACACGATTAATCAATATAATAATTAATCGAATATTTTAATACGATTTATATGTATATTATTAAATCATATATATGAGTAGGCATGAAGTACTTTCACTTAAACTAGTTAAATTATGAATAGGTTTTACAGTTAAGAGATGTGTTATAGTTAAATTTAATATCAACAAAATCCAAAAATTCCAATACATCGCTTTAATGAAATTGATGAAGCCCCCATTGTCACTAATTACAAAACGAGAAGAATCAAAATTGTATTATAACTTTTTCACAGCAGTTTAACCACCCACTCGAACTCGCTTGTAAAAATTTAGCCGCTATAGTGAATGGCGATTCCCAGTTATTCTCCAAGAAATTTTAAGACGCAGATGATGTCGTGATCTGTTAGATATATGACCAAAAATCCAATAATTTCCTCTCYGAATCAAATTTCAAAATAGGTAGGTAATAAGTTTCTACTTCGGTCAAACAATTTATGTTTACATAAATAATTTTAATCAAGTTTGCTTATTGTTTTTATGAATACATTATAAGTAACTTGTATGAATAAAAAACGTAAAAATAGTTTTTTTATAAGTTTTTGTTTGATTTTTGGGTAACAAATAATAACMAATACAGTTAGAACGAGTTTGCCCACTTTAAAATTATCGTAAAAAAAATTGAATGACGTAATATTATTCCATTATTAAACTTAATATAATGTAGGTTAGTCTTGGCCTTTAGATACATTCAGGTAGGTTTGATAGTACAAATTACGTAATTTTAAACAATTCTTAAATTCTTGAAATTTAAATACTAAATTTATGATCATCTTCTAGAAATTTAAAAACTTATTTCTGTAACTGYGTTGTTGTAATATATTTTGTAAATTTATTATTTTTAATGGAATGTTTACTAAAAAAAAACTTCTTAATATTTGTGTTATGATAAATTTAATTGTAGGTACAGTATATTACGCTATTTTACCTAGTTAATTTATATTTTGAACATCAATAATTTCCAATTAAAAAACTCATAACGTTCAAATCTGAGTAGAATAGTGCCAAATACCTACCTTACATGTTATACATTAAATTTTAAATTTGAATCAATCTATAAAATGTACCTAAAACATTTATTAACGATGTTGAACATTTATTTAATAATATTAAAGTTGTAAATAATTAATATATATATTATCAATCATTGAAATGTCAATTATTCAGTATATTATACTGAAATTTTTCTTTAAAATTCTTAATACCCAAAAACCAAATCTACAATAATCCAATAATCCAACCATAAGAAACATCGGAGTAGAATGTGGTTTTTTTAATATAAACAATTCATTGTATATCATACTATCCAWACGGGCGGTGGTAAACTCTCCCGATTTTTAAAACTCTCCGATGGTAAACTCTCCCGGGTTAATATTATGTTTACCTGAAGTAAATGTGTAAGCTCTCCCGGGTTAACTTT